ATCCCCTCCCCTCCCATCCCCTCCCCTCCCGTCCCCTTCCCTTCTCTTTCCATGTGAACCCAGGTAAACAGCCCAACTTGAAAATATAGTTTGTCCTTTGTTTACAAACAAGGATTGGGTTTAAGCACAGCCCGATCTCTCTAATCCCAGCATCCAAGCTTACTCCTGGCTGGTTTTTGCACTTTTTTCATTTCTTCTGAATTAAAAAAAGAAAGAAAAAGAAATGCAGAAAAACATCAGGAATAAGCCCCAGTTGCTTTCTGTATCTGCAAAATTTAGCTTTTCCATGGCTTGTTCAAAAAATCATGGTTACAGCGAATCCCAGCTTAGTGTTTTGGATAAATTCACATAATCTAGTTATTAATCAAAATCCAGCATCATAATAATTCAGTTCTGTACTGAGAAAAGCTGGAATATACCTTCTGTGTGAATGAATAATGCAAGTGTGCATATTCATCCACACTGCATGATTTTTTTTTCAGTCTCCCCTCCTGTTCCAAGGCTCCTAATTATTGAGACTTTTACAGAGCCCTTCCTGCCCATGATCTGCGAAAGGTTTTTCATGTACTTCTAGAGAAGGACTGCATAACTTCCACCAGTTCAAGGGCCATGGTGAATTTTACATGGCAAATTGAAAGCCACACTCAAACATAAGGGAGGGGGCTGGAACCAATGGAGGCTTCATTTTATTTTGTTATTAATTAATTGATTAATTTTACTCCACATTGTGGCATGGGCGAAAAAAGCTGCATACAGAAAAAGAGAGATGGAAGAAAACATGGTAGGGAAGGTGGGCTGGGAATGAGAGGATGGGGACTGGAGGATAAAATAATTCAGGGAAAACATAGGAGGAGAGAGAGAAACAGCAGAAGGGAAGGCGTGGGAAAGGTCTTAAGAGGAATATTAGTATCTTCTGGATGCACAGGAATGGAGGGTGGAATAAGATAAAGCAAGGCAGCTTGGTGGGTCTCCTGCAGACCAGAACCCACACTTCCTGGTTTCCTGCTCTAAAGGCTAATGCACACTTTTCTATCTGAACCCAAATATATCCATTTGCCTTTTCTGTTGTGGCTCCCACCCTCTGGAACATCATTCCCCCCAAGGTAAGGTTAGTCCCATCCCTATTAGCCTTCTGGAAAGCCCTTAAAAATGGTTTTTCCAACAAGATTCCATCGAGATGGCTGCACTGCGCTTAGGATGTTGTTACTCTCCTGCAATCTTGGTTTTTATTGTTTAATTTTTTTAAATGGTTGTTATTTGTTTTTATTTGTTGGTTATACGCTGGCTAGGGTCACGTTAGTGAGATGGGTGGCTATACAAATGGGCTAAATGAATAAATTTGTCTAACAACCAGAACTATATAAATTTGTTTGTTTGTTTAGTGCAGTGTTTCTCAACCTTAGCAACTTTAAGCTGTGTGGACTTCAACTCCCAGAAAAACAAAGCATTTCTAGATCTTTTAAAGCACTCAATGATATTGACTTATTTAAAATACTTTTTTGTTCCTTCTACAGCAAGCCACCAAAGTGGCTAATATAGCCTGCATTAGAAAAATATTTACATGAAGGAAAAACAGACAACAGTATGCAATGAAATTCTTGTAAGATAGTATTTGTATGTCCAGTCCAATCGGATGTCTCTGAAGATTACAATTACCAGAATTCTGGGTACTTTAATTCCAGTATAAACAAGTTGATGAAGTCTGCTTTAAGCCAGACCAAGAACTAACCTTCATTAACTGGATTTAGCCGGATGAAAGAACGGACAGAATCAATTACTGGGACAATAATATCACGACTCAGTTAAATAGAGAGGCCCAAATCATTCAAACATTTTCAAAGAGACTTTTTATGGCAGCGTTTCTCAACCTTGGCCAAATCTAAACATTGGTGGCTGTATCTTCCCCAACCCCCCCCCCCCCCAACCCACAGCTGTCGGGTGTAGGGAGATGGGGGGGGCGCGGATAC